CACCTTTTTTACACACACACACACACACACACACACACACACACACACACACACACACACACACACACACACACACACCACCTGTGTGGCCTTTGAAGCAGTGTGTTGTAGACAAAGAGCAGTCGGATGCAGTCTGTAAGAAAATGAGAGCTTGAGTTTGGGTCAGTGTTGCAGGAGGCATTGACTTTTCTGCTTTGCTGATGCTCGTCTCCTATTGGCTGTCTCTCCTCTCATCTAAATCAACACATCTAAGCATTGATCGGCCCCTCGCCTTGCTCCACGGAAGCCTTAACAAAGCAAATTCAAGAGAGCGCTGTATTCTTTATATCCTTGCAGGCATGTTGATCCAACAGGTCCCCGTGGACAGCACCGTGTTGTATGCGAAATGATAGCACCGTGCAGCGTAATGCATTGTTAGTATTTTCATTTGAACAGACACAAACCAGGTGGATGGGCTGACGCAGAGTTTGTCAGCCTGTTCTGAACAGTGACCTCAGGTTTGAAGAGACCAGTCACGTAGTGAAATGTCAGGATGGAGTGCTGTGTTTGCAAGATCATGAAGACAGACTGCAGATGACTACAAACAAGAACCACTGCCTTGGACTTTGCCTGACCTCCAGTGCAGATGTTGCAGATGTTGTTCTTTTTTACCATTCCATGAAACAGGATTCTGATTCCTGCAGCATAATGTCAGCTCGTGCCACCAGGCAGCAGCTCGTGCTGAATGCTGATGCAGATGCTGGTGTCCAGTGGCAAATGTTGGCACTGGCATTGTAGCAGACAGAAGATTAGAAAAGCTTTAGATAAATGAGGAGTTCCTTTGGCTCAGCAAAGCCTTCACTGACCTTCAAATTTTTAATTTTGCCTTCCTGCAGTTTTGGCAGTTTAAATTTGTCAGTGAACTGATGACCTTGGAAATACAGGGGGTATCAATTCATTGAAGGGAATTAAGAGAGGTTTCTCCTCCCTCATTACTCCTAAAGAGGTGCCCTTGAGCAAGGCAATTAACCCCCA